AATTTACAAATATTATCATATACACCGAACATCCATGACCAACAAGATCTTCAAAGCTGATAATAATAGCCAGCATCTTTTATTCAGCATGTGTGGTGAGGGCAAGGAGACCGGCGGGTTAAGTACCCACCATAAAGGTTAGTGTCCATTGTTGTGGACATGGCCAGGCTATCTAAGCGCGCCCAAGATTTATTGCCTAGGATGAACACCACTTTCTAATATCACCAGCCAAGATCACTCCCTTAAATCCTAATCGATAAGTTTTACCCATAAGTAGTGATAAGAATTTGTCTAAAAATAGGAGTGTCAGCGTAATGTCGACGTTACTTTGGTCGCCATCTTAGTGAGACCATCACACCATTGCTCACATATGGGAAGAACCGTATGACTTCTTCCGAATGTGAGGGATAATGTCTATACACTTGATAAAATGTATTCCATGTTATCCTAGATAAAGAGTTAAAAATATTGGGTGTTTTACTGGTGCATTAATGGAACAGTGTTTTTAATTCTACGTCAGGATAAACAAGGTAACGTGACAACCCGTGAAGCCTCCAGCCGATTCCATTAATTAAGCTTAAGCTCTCACACGTGATTTTTCTTTTTGTATACGACTTAAAGCATCTATTTCGTGAGTTGATATATTTTGTCGGACTATAAGACCAATATTTATTCAAGTGACAAGGTGAAAGTCGTGTTCGTCCTGGTATAAAACAAATGCTGGAACAAGCCTTAGTGTCAGGTGAAGAACAAAGAATATCTCAAGTTACGTGCTACAAGACCCACACTATTAAATTATATGAATAAATGATAATAACGAGATTGGTTAGTTAGCTAATTTTAATTGTATATATCAGCCAAATTCAGACTTTAAGGGTTCCAGTCACCTTTAAATAGCGGAGCCGTTTAATACTCATCGTTAGTGTGTCGGGTATGAGCGTAATATAATACAAGACAATAGTAAGAGCAGTGACAACGAGAGGTTTGTACCTAGTCTTACACAGTGCGTCGTGGTGGTATGCAAGTGTTCATTAAAGCGTCGCAAAATAGTGCCATTGTATTAAGATTTACCCTATTCAGGCATGGTATCAACGCAGGTAGATAAATTTTGGGAAACGCACAAAAAATCTTGATAACTGAGTCTGTCACGACACAGAACACTTAACAAATTTTAACGTATTTATCCAAAGTTAAATAACAATAGGATATAAACCAACAATACTTGCAAAGTTTTTACGGTGTGTCAACAACACTCACTAATAATGGCAGTGCCACAGTAAACTGACAAGGATTGTCACTGTGTACCATCCTATCCTCTCCAGCACCACCACACGCTCACCACCACCAACCACCTCTGACGCTCCACTGGCAGCCGTATGGCAGCAACGGCTGAGGCACCGGTGTCAGCTTGGGAGGTTAAAGAACCACTGCCAGCGCTGACTCTCGCATGTGTGTGTGTGTGTGTGGGTATATGTGTGTGTCAGTGCATGTGTGTGTATGTGGAAGTTGCCACGCTACCCCGCCCTTCCCGCCGCCTTGGTCACGCTATCCGGCTGACCCTCAGATTACACCCCGACACTACTTAACGTTTTCCACGAATGTCTATATTACTGTTAAGTCTCTTAGGAACTCTCATCCATAGTTTCGGGAGAGGCAAAGATAATACAACAACAAAAATATACAGAGAACCTGAACATACGATAATGTTTCTCTGCTTCAACAAAAATGAGTTTATGGTCGTAGGAGTAAGGGCCCGCACTATTACTATGTAAATTCAACGCATTAATGAACGAAAGCGTCAGCAACATGACTTTAGTGCGAGCCGGAATTAAGTTCAACCAGTTTGACCAGCGACTTTGTAGGCCAACACCACTGCTACTAGTGAATGAACAGGGCGAGTCATCTCATTATTGTTCCACACAACTCGCTTCATAAAATTCCTTATCAATACCTTCCCATGGATGTGTGTGTGTGTGCCGTTTTATACGCTTAATTTTCCTTTCACGAAACAACGTAAAGATTAATATATGTAAAGCTTTTATAATAAAGTTCTGACTTAACAAGAGGGTCGCGTTAACAATGGTACTGTACTGTCATGTAGGGAAGGTGTCTACCATGACTCATCATTTACCAGTACGGTGGACATAATATTTTCTGCCACTTTTTTTTTTACTATGGCAATAATTATTCTTTATCAACTATCACGGTGACGGCATTATATACATAAATAATAATACCTTCTAATTTATCCTGTACCCGAGGTTTTTTTTATTCATTAAAACGTAATAAATGTTTACCACGCGCTATGACTACAGTACATCACAAATAAATGGATGAATAATAGCAGGCCCATAATTTTATAAATAGCATGATACTGGCTGTGGTTGATGTTTGTGTCCTCATACAATGCCATAACCATTTGAATACCGGTATGGCACTCCTCAACCCTTAACTTTCTTTTTGTCACTATTGTATATACTACCCCATGTGGGTCCCTGTCGAATTATTACCACGGTAGCCCCCTACCTAGCGTGAACCCAAACTGTATTTGATTAATGTCCTATCTCCATCTTATCAATTTCTCAATCACTCTTTCCACAACTATCATAACCTGACCAAACAGCTTTAGGCCTCTGTAGTTTCCACATTCAAGGGCATCACTTTTATTCTTGTCAGTCCTGTGCAGTACTGTATTCACAATCACTCTTCTGCCAGTCAGCTGGAATAATACCATTCACTGAATCATAATTGCACGAGTCAATTCACTTACCACTGTCAAGCCACCATCGACTGATGTTTTCAACTTTTCTGCAACTATTCCAAAGCTACCAGCAGCCTTCATTTAGTCAATAATTTTCTTCACCAATTCACTTTGAATCCTTGGGCATAGACCTTGTACTGGTTAACTATTCCACTCAAATTCCCAATTCAGCAGACATTTGTAATATTTTCTCCAAGTATCTTTAATTTCCTCATTACCAACAACCACGTCCTTGTTTCTACTCATTATTTATCTTGACTGTATTCTGTATACTTCACCCCTAGCATCAGAACTACTCAACTTATCCACCAATGTATCCTATTCATGCTTCTTAGTACTGTATTGTAAATATCACTTCTATCCCTGTGCTTGGCCTCTAGATACTGAACTCTTATTTATCACCACATATCTATGCCACATACAATCTTCTTTTCTCCTTTATCAATCTATCCAATTCATCATTCCATGAACATGTTAATGCATGCTTTGCTTTCATCCAGCCACAGACCCTGTCAACACCATTTAACAGACTATCATTTAATGTGGCTCAGCAACTCGATACACTACCCTTCACACTGTCAATGACTGTTTCCACTCTCCTCAGCTCAGTATACTGTAGTATCGTTCCATTACATTCGGTTCCTTGAATTTTCATGATCTCCTTCAGAAAACAAACACCTAATTTTTCTCTTTTAATAGCAACAAGTCAACAACAAGCAGTCTAAGCTGCTAGGCACATTCTTCCCTGGCTATCACCTTACATTCCTAACAAGCTTCCTGACAGATTTCCTGACAAGTGTGTTATCAATACTGTATGGATATTTTACTCACAAGTGATCAGCCCACTTACCTTCTTCTTAAACAATGTGTTGCATAAAACTTTATTCAATGCATCCCCAAACTCAAGAACAGTACTACAGTATTCTTTTACCTTCAGTATTCCTTATTCTAAAACCTTTTCCACCATGCACATCTTCATATCCTGATGTGTTCACCGACATAGCCATGCAAGTCACCACCCAATTTCCCTTTCAACAAGCTCTGATACTTGTCCTTTTCTTCCTTACTTAGCCCAACTTGTAAGGCACATCCAGATACAACAGATACTGCCAGATTCTTGCCTACCGGTTGCTTCAAAACCAAAATTCTTGCATTCAGTTTTTAACACCTGATCCAAAATCACTCCCTTTAATTCTTACCAGTATTATAACCAACAGTGTTGATTCTCCTTTCTGCCTAATTTCCTGTATAATGCAGATATCCACCTTTCAATGGCTCAATATCTCAACAACCTCACCCACTCTTCCTTGTAAAGTGCCAACATTCAGACTTCCAACTGTAAACCCAGCTATTGTCAGGTTGCTCCACTTCGCTTCCATTTTATTTTGTAGGTACAGTACAGCGTGTGGATGGCTTGTGTGTAACAGGTTTACTTAGGACTATGGGCTGTACTGTCATATTCAAGTAATGTTTGGAGATGGGTATCAAACCACAGCTCATCACCACAAACACAGGTACTGGTGCATTAGCGATCCCGATGCCTAGAACCAACCCAGCAGCAAAGACCAGGGGAAAGACACTGCTCTGGTGTCTTAGTTGCCATCAAGCAAATTTGAAACAGGTTTCATGGCTGGATACCCTTTCTATTGCCAACTCACATTTACAGACATATTGTAAAATCATCTCAGTTTGGGCAGGAATATTCTTCTCCACTTGTTCAAATTCTGACTACAACTATCCTACTTCCAATGTTATGCAGTACCTTTTTTGTGATCTTTGATAGCTTCCTCCAATTTGGACTAACAATCGGTGTAATATGGTACTGTACACAGAACAGACCATCTTTATCATTGGCTCCCAATGAAGAGAGCAGTGTGTTTGAATGTACAGTAATGCTCAACCACACATTTTAGAATGGTTTGATAAACAACTATGAACATACAGTATAATATAATGAGAGATCCAGAGTTATACATACAGTACCACAGTTAAAGAAAAACTTCTTTTTTTTTTGCTTTTCCATATCATAACTGCAGCCTGGAGATCACAAAAGCTAAATTCCATTCGCCAAAAAAAAATAAGCACATAAGTATGCAGAAAGGCTCTCACACACAGAATCTACACTACACAACCAAAGCTCTTACCAGTAAGCGAAAACTGGATATAATTCCCGTAAAAGACTGATGACATCTAACACAAAATCTTAAAACATATATACAGTACTGTATACTGTACATACCTCGTACTGGATCTGAAGAATATTCCTCATCAGGCTCATTGAGTGAAGTCTTTCTACTCCCAGGACGTCGTCTTGGTGAAGAGCCAGGAGTCAGACCCTGCATCACCTCTGCAGCATTCCTTAACACAGCATCACGAGCAGCACGGAAACCACTCGCTGATTTTAAAGGACATATTAGCACCGGGCCAAAGAATGAGAGCCGGTAAGTTGAACAGAATGTAAATATTTCCCTGTTGTTGTCTACTTCTTAGAGCTCAATTATTGTAATGCAAAACTCTGACAAAGACGACTCAAAAATGACACAATACAATACTGTAAAGTTGAAAATTATAGCAAAAAAAATCAAAATTTGTTTATTTTGTGTGTTGTGTATGTCTGTGGACATGCACACCACTGTGTGTACAGTAAATGTGTGTACTATTAGGAAAAATTAACTGATAGACTCATACAGCAAACACACCAGAAATATTTAGTAATCAAAAGTAAGAACATGACCTTTGAAATTCTTATCAAAACTACTCTTTAAACATGAATGTTGTCCAATCACTGTTTCTTTCGTCACAGAAGCACAGTATTTTTATTAGTCTTATTATTATGAGAACGATATTCACCATAATTTTCTTTCTAGTGTAAGAATCACGTTTCATTTCCAATTTTGAATCAGATCCAGAAAAAAGCTTTCTCAATCCAATTTCTAGTTTGCCTACTGGGTAACATTACAGTACAGTATTTACACTCCCGTTCTTGACAATTCTTTAAAATCTTTCCCAGCTTATATACTTGATATAAATTTGACTACAGTACAGTACAGTATTGCAAAAGGGCTGATTGAAATAATTAGAGATTAATTGGTATTTCTCCTCTGCCATTTGGCCATGTCAATTTATGGTAATTCATAGCCATACCCTTATGGATATCCATGCATATTCTTCTTCAGTTACAGGATCTTGAAGCATGAATGAAGGTCTCAGTACCTGGGATTCATAGGATTCGACTTTTTTTTTTCACACAATCAAAACCGAAGTGGTACATGTATATCAGTGTTATGGCCAATTCCTTCTCCAACAATCATCTAAATGAAATGAAAGGCAGACATAGAAATGATATATCCCAGGAAACCCACAAAATGACTGGTACTGTACCTCCAACATAAAGAAGTTTCTGTTAAGGAGGGCAGGCATACCAGCACCTCATCATACCCAGGTAATATTGTATCTCAAAATACTTCATCCTGAGTTCCAGAAAGTAAAGTACAGTACAGCAAGGGTTGGGATACTTTTTTTTTTAACACGTGTACATTTGTCCAAGGTAAATGTACCTGGAAAAATACTATTACACTTGTTCTAAGATATTTCATATCAAACATTTAAGTCAGAACTATGGTAATCCAATTTAAATATTAAGTTATAGATCATATTAACAAGGAAATATATAGCGTAATATGCATTTTGAAACTAAAAACATGATTGATTGCAATAAACTTGTTCAAAATTTGTACATGTCTGAAACTTAAATTTTGATGTTGGACACTTGTCCACTGGCAGAAATGTGCTTGTCCTGGGTGTTAGGTGCTTGGATTCATACAACCCCAGCAAGTAGAGTAGAATGAAAACTGAAACATCAGAAATAATTTTAGAAGACAAGCTTACTGCCAAAGGTCAGGAAAAAATTAATAAGACAGATATTGTACTGTAGTATGAAGGAGAGTGGAACACACAGGAGATGGACAGATGCACGATAAGTGAAGTTGTGCAAAAAGATGGGTATAAATCAGATACTGTAGATATCTTGGGGCCTTGTTGAAGATGGAGAACAAAGATGTTACAACAGTTGGAAAGAATGAAAGACAGTAAATGAAGAAAGAGTGCATTTATTTTTAGTTCTTGCCACCCCATAATGTAGCAAGAAAGGGGCTTTGGGGAAAAAACCAATTGAAGATAAGCACCCCTACCCCAGCTTATTTAGTCTGTTGGATAAACACCATAATGCTACCTGAGGGGGGTTAGGTTATATTATGTTAGATAAGGTTAGGTTAGGTTAGCATTCAGGTGAAACTAGTTTGGGGGTAATCTTCATGTGATCTATAAATTAATGCCATCAGCAGTAGAATGGCGACTTATTTTATGCTGATGGCACATGCGGTAAGTATGAAACAGCATAATGTGGGCTGACAAAGTTTTTCTAAAGGAGGGATACAAAGTTCATACAGTGGACAGAGTTAGCAACATGAGAGACAGAGGTACAGGTATTGTGAAGGGAAAGACTGAGAAAGGAAAAAGACGTAACAGTTATGTGGTATTGATATATATAGAGAATGACTAAAAACTCTTTGTCTAAATTAAGTTAGTGTAAATAAATATAAAGAAAGACTGAAAGTAATATTACTAAACACTAAGGAATTATCAGAAAGAAAAATGTGGAAGAGGAACTAGAAAAATAAAAGTACTAGTGTACTGTAGTACATATGTTGTGGATGTGTTTTTTTTTCTGGACTGTCCTGCAATATTTCAGAAAAAGATTTATAGGGCACTTACTTATACTGTACTGTATATTAACTGACTGAAAAATTTAGTAAACTATGAAGACAAACAACTGAGTGCAGAATTTTGTAAACTATGAAGTTCAAAGAGATTTTTAATTATTTCATGTAAAAGAACAATTCTTCCCACTTCCAACATACAGTATAATCTTTCTCTACTGGGAATCAGTTTGTGATGAAGGACATTGATAATGACATGAAGGGTCAGTATACAGCACTACTGTTTTTCAATTATGAGCAAAATAAAAGGGGGGAGGAGGGAAGCAATGACGAAGACCTACCACTGGTTCAGTAATTTTCACTGCAATTTTATCTAACTTTTTGGGAATAATCTTTATGCGAGACTGTATGTTTATAGTTTTCTTTAAAAAAAATTATATTCCAAAAGCAATGCTGTACTTTACTATGACTACCCTGTACTAGTACAGTATCATGAATGACTAAGATGTACAGTGCTGTACAGGGGATTTCCATTATTTGTTTCCCCTTTATCCATCATGGGTCCAAAGTATATGCTAAGTCTAAGGAGTGAGCTTAAGTATGAGGGCAGAAAACATAGAACTTTATAGTGTAAAAAACTACAGTTTTCAAAAGTAATTAAAGGTACTGTACTTGTTTATTCTGTGTATGGCAGTTATAGAATACAGTGGCAACAAATTAGAACATTTAACCTAACCTTATGAAATTATTTTTTATCACTGATAAATAGAAATGTTCCCCCCCCCCCACCTATTCCATTAATTCTTACTGGAAATATTCCTGTTAGTTGTTTCAGTATTCATCCCAACTCTTAAGTACGAAACCTCTGTGAATAATGGGGACTCTCCCTATAGCAGATTTTGACTGGGAATAAAAACTGTAATAGACAATACAGAACAAAATTCTAATAGTTACAGTATATTGGACAACATTCACGGTACAATTAACGTATACGTATATACAGGTGTTCAATTCTGTAAAATGTGTTAGTAATCAACTTCTCTCTTTTTAGAAATGATAATACAGGTACTGTATATATAGTGTGCTATATACAGCATATAAATATAAATAAATACTTTTACAATTTTATAGAAATTTTACTTGAAGAGAATCCTATTTTGAGGGATTAATATGTACAATGATGAAAAAGTTCTAGTGTAGTATTGTAGTCATAAACACGGTGCATGACTTAACTGAACGATGAACGTGTGTACTGTACAATGGAGTCAATGTCTTATATGAGAGTTGTGTAACTGTTTTGGCTGCAGTGTAACATCTAATGAGATTTCTATAATAAATTATACCCCAATTTAAGTGTACTGGTATACTGTAGTCATTCCTGGTAATAGTACAGTATACTACTGTATAATAAATTAGATTGACTTTAGAACCACAAAAGATAAAAACAAAATACAGGATTCAAATTATATAAAAAAAAACAGTGAATGTTGATTTTAATGTGACAAAGAACTGGAATCAATATAACTTCCTAAATACAAGCTACAGTCATGCACTCCATAAAAGATGCATCATTACGAAAAAGGAAAAATTGTCCTGTAGAAAATGTCAATAGCAAATTAAGAAGAAGTATAATTGTTAAGTCAAGTCCATATATAAATTGTTAACTACTATTACCATGCACAATAATGCTCAACATATGCAACATGCCACTGTATACTTGATTCTGAAACTGCACTTGAGTCTAATGTTAAAAAGAAAACTATTTAAGCTTATACTAGTGGAAACAGGAGAAAAGTTCAGGTTTAAGTTATACTATTCAAGAGCAGTTTCAAAATAGAGTACTGGTAGAATGTATACAAGAAGCCACCATTCTGTCCAGTTGGGGGTGGGGGTGGGTGCTTGTTAGTACCTAGTTCCTGTTCCTCAGGGGTTCCTGTGGGGGTGCTGACGGCCTGGCTGTTAAGGGCATGTGCATGGGCCACCTCCTCCAGTGTCACCGGCTGTGTCTTGAAGCGTGCAGAACGGGAACGACGTCGTATGCCCTGGGCACCATCAAGAGGTGGAACTGCTCTACGCTCGTCATCCAGTCTCTTTGTCCAGAGGGCCACACGGGCACCCACACTTTTACTGCTGCTACTCTTGTCTGTGCTGTTTTGACTGCTACTAGTCTCTCCTTGTGTGCCACTCTTCCATGGCACTGGTTAGTGGAACACAGGAGTTCAAATTGGGCCAGGGCAGGTCAAGGGATATGGGGTTAGGCAAGTTAACCTCAAGGATGGGTTAGGTAGAGACAAGGCTTTTCAGCAACACGATTCATTCTCACTTAACAGTTGCTAGTTTTGGATGACTAAATGAACCACATTGATGGTAAAGCCATTCTCTAAAGTTAAGGGTAAAAGTGTTTTCTGCATATATATTTAAGTTTGATCCATATTCTTGTAATTTTATTTGTCTAATGTTAAATTACATCTAAATCTGTAAAATATATGAGCTTGTGTCCAAAATCATACCAAACCAAATGAGCATGCAATGTTTTGAATCAATTATGTTTTTGTTTTTTCACGTTTTGTTATTGTGGCTAAAGTCTTTTGAACTGGAAAGAATTTAAGTACAGTATTGTACAAAGTCAAATATATTATTCCAGATTGTGTTGATTGTCCAGGATGTTCATTATACATGTTTAGAATGGGATTATGTGCCATAGAGCAAACATTGGTATCAGCATAGGACAAGAGCTTCATTTTGCCAGTAACTCATGACATCACTGCTGGTGTTAGAGGCCACAGCTTAGCACAGTGGCTAGTGGTCGCCTGGCAGCCTAGGATAACACATGCACATGCAATCAAATATCAAGCTTTTCAGTGATCATCTGTGATCATTTGCAAATAGAGCACATGGGCTGGTGTGAAAGAGTGACACCTCCTTTATTTCTTTCCTCCTTTTTGTTAATACTGTACTGTACTGTATTTGCATTAATCTTTATTATCATTAACAAGTGAAGCTGTCACCTTTCTTTCCAACACATCAAGCTGTAAGCATGTTTCTGGAATACAGTACTCACGTGAGCCTCTACGTGGTGGGGCTGAATCTGAATCATGAGAGGCTGAAGCAGAATCTGAAGCATCAGCCAGCCTTGCAGCTTGGCTCACCTCATCATCTGTTACAGGCTGTGTTGCATGCCTGCCACACACAATAACAATATCAAAAATACATTGCAAAAATATATTCATTAATTCACTGTTAACAAAAACTTTATGAAAGAAGTTGTAAATCAGTAAAGTTCTTAAAGGGTAAACATTTTAATAATGCAATACTGTATAACATTACTGTTTGTTCATGTAAGTTGGTCCTATCTAAATCTACAATTCATTTATGACGTTCAGTACAGCAATTATTAGAATGTACATGGGAAATTACAAACCCTAATAGCATTAAGTTGACTTTGTGATTCAGGACCGATTATTGTTATGTACACTCGGTAAAAAAAAAGTATCTTTCAGGAGGGGTCCGATGAATTGTAACTGAACAATCCTGTTGTCTCGCTAGTGTCGGTAGGCATGATTGTGAGACATTTCCTACCTATTATGGTAGGCCTAATTTAGTTATTTCATTCAAAACATAAAATTAGTTCATTGGTGAATGACAATATGCCTCATGAGCCTTTATCAAAAACCTTCATTCGTGGTGTCATTTTGTTTCCTACAAGAATTGTAAAGATACTTTTTTACTGAGTGTAAATGCATTTAATTTTGGAATGTAAACAAGCATTACAGTGCACTGGTTTAAAATGATTGAAGATACATTGTAACTAGTGCAAGAACTAATGAACTGTATGTGAAAGCTTAGTGCTATGGCAGTGACAGAAGACCATCACAATCTATTACTGTAGTTGTTTTATTCTTAATGATAAGCATCATGTTTTATTGCAGTGTACTATACTCTAATAGATACTTTACTTGAGTGAATAAAGAGGATTTCTAAAATTTTAACCTACTAAGTGCCAATAGAAAGAATAGCGCTGCAATGAATATTACAGGACTTCACAAGATCTACAATTACGCAAAAAAATACCAGTTTTCTTACATTTCAAAGAAGTTCGCTATCTGCTCAAATCTAGGAAAATGACATAAATCTTATTATTTCTAATGTGAAACATCTCAGCACATTGACTATTGTTTTTAGAAGTTTCTACGTAAGTATTGATATACATGCAGTACCTGTATATTTAAAAACTAGACAAAATATCATCAGATCTACACTTTTTTTATTTGATATTAAAAATTTAGAAGAATATTAAGGAGTTAATAGAACTATATTCAAAAGAAAAAATATTTATATTTATGTACCTGGTTCCCCGGTCTCTTCTGCTGGTGAAACGAGCACTACGACTGGGAACAGCAGGAGCACTGTCAGGCACACTCTTCTGTTCACGCTCCAACTGAAAATATTCCATGAATTTTAAATTCCATTTTAAGTCCAATAAGAGAATCAAAGTTACAAAAGTAAACATACAGCACTGTATAGTGAATTCTCTATTTCTACAGTCTTCAAGTTCACATACCGGTAATGGACATACAGTGTTGGACTGTGAAAAACAATCAAGACCATTATTTTTCATTCCATGCTACCTTCATCAGGTTCACTGGGATCAAACCAGCAATAAAACAGAGCACGAATTGCTTTACTATAAAGTGAATTAACACCAGCCTTTGAATAATATGATTAGGGAATTTACACAATTGCCTTACTACTGTATACTGTATATACGAGCAGTACTGTACACAGTTCAGCATTTGTTATGTACAGTACATATGTTATCTTGAAATACTTTTTCGGAAGACTTCTTGAAAGCAGACATTTTCATATGTACGTAATGCCATATGTTGTAACTGTTAGGGTCTGCCAAGAAAATGATGTCAAGACATTGGCTGATGAATTTTTCATGTGGAAACAACATTTATGTGAAAAGAGCTTGTAAAATAAAGTTCTGCATTTGTTCATTGTGTTAATGTGAATTGAATCATTAACCCACATATTAATACAATGTACAGTACCTGTAATGTACTATACTGTACACTGTATATGCAGTATGTGCATGTGTACTATACATGCATGTGTGTGTGTGGCGGGGGGGGGGTAAATTCATCTTCAATTCAATTACAGTACTGAGGTTTCAATGTCAATATCTCATTATACTGTTTCCTCTTATGTGCACTGATATATTTTAATCAAGTAAAGTTAGTTTAACTAGAGGCCATAAACATGAAATGAAACCAACAATAATATTACTGTATTCTTTTTTATACTATGGCTTCTCACACACTAATATAAAATTTACATCCTAAACCTTGAAAACTGGCACAAAAAACACAGCCAATATACTCATTAGCCATTGTATCAGAGATGTAGTTATGACCAATACTGAGATCACAAGTGAGGAATTTCGTATTTTTAGCCTTGGTGGATGACCTGAAGATGAACCCCCAGATAGTTTCAGGGTGGCTAAGTTTGGGGGGAGGGAGGGGGGGGGACTCTTCAGGCGAGGACTCAAGGGCTAATTTTCAGGCAATCCATAAAGACTAAAATTATGAAATGTCTCGTTCGTGGTTGTCTGTCTTGACTACATTATTGTTATGTATATACAGTATAGTCTCGGTTTACGCGGTCAATCAAACCTGTGGAGGTCCACGTAAAACGAGAAACGTGTAAACGAAATAACAGAACATATGGGATTAATTGAAATAGAGACTGGGCCGACCCCCAGACTACCCTTTTTCCGACACAATACGTACGTTGTAGTAAAAAGAACATCTTAATTTTATGATGGTATGCACACAATTAATATTTAAGAGAAATATCAATAATATTAGGTTTTTTAACACTCACGTTAGTAGAAGAGATGGCTGGGTACACGGGAATGGGGGGTTGGTTCCGAGGCAGAGGGCAGATTATTGGCCCTCACCTGTATCACTTGTATCAAATGTATCACTATCCACCACAGAGGCTTGCAGGGCCTCTTTGTCAAACCCCTCAAAGTCCATATCCTCACTATCACTGACTTGGTCTGGCTGTGGTGGGTGGCGGGTGAAGAACTCAGTAATGTTTTGTTGACTGGGCGACCTAGTGCGCACCCTGCCCGCGCCGCTTCCCACATAAATGATGGAATGTACCGCGTAACTAATAATTGCCGGTCTGGCCAGGTGCCGCGTAAATGACCAACCGCGTAAAGGAAATCCGCGTAAATCGAGACTATACTGTACAGTATTACAGTAATAATACTGTACAACCATTTCATTCAATAAACTAATCGTATATAGTAAGCAAATATTTAATCAATGAGATACTGTACCAGGGTATATTTTATGAGCTGAGATTTATATGAAATATGTACATAAGTGTGAAAGTAAGTCCCACTGGTCAGATGGCTCATTAGAGGCAGTGTAGATATACGATACTGCAAACTAAGCCTCTTAGTTATATATTGGTAGTATTACCAGTAACTCAGGTACTGTACCCCTACACAAATGTAACAATTCTAAGCATCATCAAATACAACCTTCATGGTGTAAATTTCAAATAGGTGTAAGTTTCAATATCATATACAGTAAGCAGTACAGAACAGAACTGTAACATCCATTCCATAACCTGCACAGGTTATGGGTGTTATTGGAAGTGCATTTGGCATTGAATGAAGTGTAAAAAGTCATGAGATGTAAATTAAAAACACATGGAAAGGGTCCGACTAATTACCCAAATGTACCCAAATGTACCCAAATATAGCCGGAATGAAGTCAAATAATGGTCCTAGATGAATAAATCGGACTGCCAATCACTTCTCGACTAGTATTTGGTGTCACAAAGTCACAAAAAATTGGTAAACTTAATTTAATCTGAGTTAATAGATCGAGTGCATGTACCTAACCTAACCTAACCTAACCTCGACTAGTATTTGGTATCACGAAGTCACAAAAAATTGGTAAACTTAATTTAATCTGAGTTAATAGATCAAGTGCATGTACCTAACCTAACCTAACCTAATCTAACCTAACCTAACACAACACAACTCAGATTAAATTAAGTTTACCAATTTTTTTTTTACTTTATGACACCAAATAATAATCGAGAAGTGATTCACAACCCGAATTACCCTTGTACGACCATCATTTGTCTTCATTGCAGCTACATTTGGGTACATTAGGGTAATTCCTCGCTCCGTCGGTACATGCACGCGATCTATTAACTCAGATTAAATTAAGTTTACCAATTTTTTTTTACTTTCTGACACCAAATACTAGTCGAGAAGTGATTGGCAGTCCGATTTATTCATCTAGGACCATTATTTGACTTCATTGCGGCTATATTTGGCTACATTTGGGTACATTTGGGTAATTAGTAGGACCGCATGGAAACGTATGTTCTTACTTGTGCAAAGAAGGCAGCTTTTTGTGATACTGAAGAAGGGGTGTCTGGGGTGATGTCACAGCCAGGAGACATGGCACAGTTGAAAGCTTCAACTACTGGACGGTCCAAAAATGCTTCATTAATGGCTTCTACACTGTCAGCAGGTGAGGAATCCGCTACCAGGCCAAAGGCACTGTTTCTTCGAGTATCCCTGAAAAAACAAATAAAAAAAACGTCTCTGAATACATATTACTGTAACAAAATAAGTGAATAGCACATCTTCATTGTTCTTCTTGAATTTAAGAATTTGTACAACTTTTCTGGGGATACAACAGTGATTGTGTACGTACCAAACAATCTCAACAGTATCTTGAATTCTGTCTTAAAAAAAAGGCTGAATCTTATCTCTATACAGCCTATTTATCACTGAGTATAAAAAATACAAGATACTGTACAGAGGAACCTGACTTTCCAGTAATCCTCAATATGAGAAAGGGGTTTTAAGTTGTGAACAAGGACATAACAAGGACATTTTTTTTTACTTCATATTTATATTACTGTAATATGGGAAACAAGAGATAAGCTGTTCTTAATTATAAGAAACAATTTCAACAAAAGCCATAATAAACTGCTAACAATTATTGATGCTAAGATGCAAACATCCTTTGAAAAAATAATCCTAAGAGTTAAACATCAGAAAGTAGATATTTGAGACGTACAGAGACTGTACAGTACTTTTAATTTAAAGAAAAGTTACAAATACTCAATACATTAGTTTCTTATGCTGTTAATTAAAATTGTAATACTGAACTAATCTAACATTACTACTTGTCACCCTACCTCTCCTTGTCAGTGGGTGTCGGAGAACGGTCAAGGAAGGACGGCATAACCTTGGGCCTAGCGCCAGGGCTTCGGGTAGGAGTCGGGGAGCGTTGTGGGGGAAGAGGTTCCTGTCGTGCTGCTTCCATGCCAGCAACTCTCTCAGCTACACTCAGTGGCCGCTCACTTGATCTGACAGATGATTCTTCTTTCTTTATCAGTGCCCCAAGGGATGGACTAACAGGCCGATTTGATGCATCGTTCTCCATGTCTTTTTCATCAGGACCTAATGATCTACGAGAACGCAGGATGGCTCCCAGTTCACTGTCCATCTGATCAAAACGGCCCGGTGAATGTGCTCCACGTTTCTTTAAAATTCCATGCGAGGGAGTAGCGGATGGTGCAGGAGGAGAGCGCCCTCTTATACGTATCACAGCCTCAGGGGCAGAGTCACTTCTTACTCTCACACTAGGCACTTCACCATCCACATCTTCCCCATCAGACACATGAAGTCTGAGTCTTACACCATCAGTTGTGTCCCGCCTCTTTAAAATTGGTCGTAACTCCCCTTCTCCTTCACTATCACAACGAGGTGACCTTTTGAGGATAGGGTTTGGTGATATGACACCTTCTGCACGATCAAGGTCCTCTCTACTGCGTCCACCCTTAAGGATTGAGCGAGGTCTATCGTCAAGCTCGTCATCGGTGGACGATTTTTTCTTCAATATAGGTCTTGGTTCAAAGTGATCAAGCTCTTCTATGCTACTCTTCTTTTTTAGGATAGGCCTTGGCTCGCCTTCTACCGTATCTATACTTGATGTGCGGGAACTCGTTTTACGTTTTAGTATGCTATGTGGTTCTGGTGTCGTAGGACGATCGATTGTAACATCCTCACGGGAAGAGCGGTGCTTGAGTATAGACTGTGGATCGGGAGAGTTAGTTCGTGGAGAATCTTCATCTAGCGAACAACGTCTTGAACCACGTTTGTTACTATGATGTTCAGGACTTCTTATTTGTGATGAGTCGGGAGAACAAAGATCTTCATCTTCATATCCTTCATGCTGAAGACCATGTACTACTTCTTCAGGAGGAGGATTTGCACTGTCATTGTTAAAGGCACCATGATCCGGGGGCCCTGAAGGTACAGCGGAGGCAGCAGTAACTTTTTCTTGCACTGCTACTTGGCTAACATCACGTTTAACATCTCTGTTCATTTCTTTTTCCATAGCCAACCGCTTACTTTCTTTACCACGTCCTTCAGAGCCCCCGACCCAGTTTTTCTGACCCGTGTCTGAAATAACACCCTTCATGGCAGTTGGAGCCTGTAGCCTGTCACTGCGTGTATCAGCTATACTAATATCTCGAGGCCGAACACTACCGCTGGAGTCTTTCCGGTTAGCATTCACGGTAAGATATTCCTCACACTCGTGAACTACACTGTCAGCACTGTCCTCGGGTGGGCTGGACTCTGGAGGTGGTGGTGGACTGTCATCAGCAAGACGGTCCACCCGCTCCATGGTCTCTCTTGCTCGAGCTGTGAGCGCCTCCAAGCGACTACTCATAACTTCTTCAGAGTTGATGGTGGCGCCAGGTGTTGACGCTGTTGGTGAAGAAGAGGCTCCAGAAGCCTCAAGATCTGAACCTCCAGGGGTTAATGGATCACTCTGCTTCCCAGAGTAACTGGACTCAATTTTCAAATTCATGTCTGATTTTGAGAGTCTATCTCCCTTCCTGGGTCGTTGTTGAAGTTCTCGGAAGATGTTCTCGGGTTTCGTTTCGTCACGCTTCTCCCGACGAGCTGCCATAAAACATGTGCCAGTATCGTTAGGCTTCCTGAGAGATGAACGAATATTAGCGGGTCTCAGTCCTTCAGGGGCTAGTGGTGGCTTCTCGAGCACCACAGATGATGGCCTGGAGTTAGGGGGAGTGTTGACCACCCCTGGGGAAGCTAGTCCAGTCGTATCTTTAGGCCGCAGTACATCAGGGATTTCAGGTTTCCGCAGCGGTGCTAGTTTGGGCGGCACCTTCCGCACCGTCCCTTCTTCAGTCTCGGAGCGTTCCCCGAGAGAGCTGTTCACTCGGCGAGTTTCAGTGGACCGAGACTCACCTTCTTGTGCAAACCTTGAGCGTGAGTCGAGAGTGGAGGGCGCCGAGTGTGTTGTGTCGTGGGGTAGGGCTGGCTGGATGGGCTGGAAAGTATGGGCTGGGGCAGTGGGCTGTGGGGACGGGTGGCGGCGTGTGGGCGGCGGCGAGGGCTGGGCGGGCGGATGGGTGGGCGGGCTGGTTGGGGGCGTGAGGCGCGACACCACATGACGCACCACGTCAGGAGTTTTGAGAGGCTCAGCTCCGGCTACAGAGAGGCCGCCGCTCACGGGCGACGCCGGGCCACGACGACGCCGACGCCTTGGGGTCTCTTCTGAAACACAAGAAAAGCATCTGTTACTACACATATCGTTTACGGCCATTGTTTAACAGACTAATCATGAACATCCCGCTGTTACGGTGGGAATAAGAGGATTTGGAAGAAATAAAAATTTAAATACTGCAACACTTACTGACTTAAAACAAAGATAAAGAGATAATGAAATAATCGGACTAACATCCTCTGGTACATACAAAATCTTGCCAATTAATAAGAGCCACTTCCAATATATATATTGTAATCGCTCATAGGAGCGACTTTGGTTTGTGCAGGACAATAAAGACCCTTGTCGTTGACGTGTTGAGTATAATTGGGTCAAAACCTGTTGAACACAATTCACATATAACAACTGCAGGTACATCAGGACACACAGTTTGAGCTTATTTTTTAAGATTTACCACTTGAGAACGTAAACATCGTCGACTCTCCCACTAAAAAAAGGCCATGAATTCAAGGCACTATGACTTTTGTCTTATATCTTCTCTGTTAACACCAATTAGCGACAGCGGGAATAACCTGTTTCTCGATTTTTAATTTCATGGTTATCACTTTTATGTATCTTTCGAGTGTGGAGCAACTAACAACAAGGGTTACATACAGTACAACCTTTAATACTTAACAGTGTAGTACCGCCCACTCACGTGCATATTTAGTTATAAGTTATGGCTTTCAAGGACGATTTTTTATCACTAATGCATGGCTGAGAAGTCGACCTGTTTGTTAGAGCTAACTTAAAAAGTTCATAAAAAGATGTACAGTCTCTAAATGACATTTCCATTAATGGGTAACGCTTACCCTGAAGGTGTAAAACTAAACGACAGCAGTTGGGTGTTGTTGTAGCCTCCGCCCGCCAGGGATGTGAAGCTAAGAGACCTCAGTTAATCAGCAAAAACTGCTCGTCGCTCCCCGAGATCTATTGTGGAATTTTGAGGATTTGTGTGTTGGGTGAATGTCGAGCAGGTAGCGAGTAGATGAGCTGTAGTGTGCGGGGCAGCAGTGTAATGCGAGCAAAGTGAATTCCGAGTAAAAGTGTTGACAGTGATTGGGAGAAGGAAGGTGTCCACAATATAATTAGCTTTCGACTGAGATACATATTGTGGATAGGTATTATTTCCATATCAGATAAAAATGTTCACCTCCACCAGCGTATGACTGACAGAAGATACACGTGTTTATCATACAGTACAGAAAATCAATGCACATTTTAACCCTGGTCTGAAGGAAAATATGAAGGTATAGGTCAAGGAACATCAAGACTGTACACAAGTGTATCAATACACGAGAGAAACATGTAAATGTATCTGTTACAGTGGAAGAGAGATGTGTACATGTAGTGTCCTCACACCCCGGCCTAACACGAGTGCCTCATCATTAGTGGTGAGGGAGGGAGGTGTGAGGCCAAGCGTGAGACCAGATTGGAGGTGTTGTGTTGCCCACGCCCATAGTCGACGTCTGGCCTCGTCACGCCCACGCCTACGCGCCCATTTCCAAGGCCATACAGTCTTAATGCCCAAAGCGGAGGGGACAGACAGTGTTAGCGTACACACACTTCCTGCTTTGTCAGTCTTCCTCAATAAACTGAGCGAGTCAGACGCCCGCCCCTGACGACATAACTCGCCATGCTTTACTTATTCTAATAAGGGAAAATTACAACAAGTGGTAGTATTTTTTTTAATATTGTTTGTCACACCAAACTAAAATCACCAGAGTCTGTTATCAGCGGTAGAGACGAGACACTGGTGTGTAGCGTAGCCCTGTGCCAACAGTTCTACTGTGCTAACTTCTAGTTACGTCGCAGTCGAGGGAATATGTACAGGAGAGACCCCGAGGTGTATCAATCTGCTCAGTCTGGCGGCCTCACTAGGCCGACTACACTGCTGACGACGGTGTGCAAGTGACCAAACCTGAGGACGCAAAGGCTGCTGCTTGTAGGACAAATCAAACTTTGCCTAAACCGTTACAAACCTTAACTTAATGCATCATTAGTAGTTAAGGAAACTTGGACAAATGGGATTTTATCTACTTTATTCAGTTATAGTTTGCGAATCTAGACTGCTACCGTGAAGTGGTTGGTGCTATGGTGCGCCCTGGTACATTACGCACGCCCGCTGACGCGCGCACACACACACGCGCGCACACACACACACACGCACACACACACACACTACGGAACGTACATCACAGAAGATATTAATCAACACACGGCACGGCCCACACAAACAACACAAAATATAAGAGGAGGGAAGAGGGAGAGGGCCGACGCGCCGTAGAAGACACCGCTGTGGGGAAGTTTACGCCACTCGGAGGAGACCCACCAAGAGCAATATGGGGTTACGGACCAGCAGCGTCACCCTCCGCAACCCACGGGGCATAAAACCTCCTGTGCATAGAAGGGAAATAATAGAACTGTCGAAATCTCCGCCAATCTCCTTTTTATAGGCGATAAAAAGTGTGTACGAGCCGGGAGAGACGCGAGGTGGGGGCCCAGGTGTTCGGGGCAACGAGGACAACTTCTCCAGTTCTGACGCCTAGGGAGGATCCTCGACCACGACCAGTGGGTGGCTGACGAGGGTTAGTTGGTGGGGTGGTTGGGTGAATGGCGGGGTGGTTGGGTGAATGGCGGGGCGGTTGGGTGAATGGTGGGGTGGTTGGGTGAATGGTGGGGTGGTTGGGTGAATGGCGGGTGGTTGGGGTGAATGGTGGGTGGTTGGGTGAATGGCGGGGCGGTTGGGTGAATGGTGGGGCGGTTGGGTGAATGGTGGGAGGTTGGGTGAATGGCAGGGTGGTTGGGGTGAATGGTGCATGGCATCGGCGAGGTTAAGGGAATGGTGGGGTGGTTGGGTGAATGGTGGGCGGTTGGGTGAATGGGTGGGGTGGTTGGGTGAATGGGGCAAAGGTGAATGGCGGGGGTGGTTGGGTGAATGGTGGGGTGGTTGGGTGAATGGTATGGCTGGGTGAATGGTGGGGAGGTTGGGGTGAATGGCAAGTGGTTGGGTGAATGGTAAGTGGTTGGGTGAATGGTGGGGGTTGGGGTGAATGGCGTGCGGTTGGGTGAATGGCGGGGTGGTTGGGTGAATGTGTGGGTGGTTGGGTGAATGGTGGGCGGTTGGGTGAACGGTGGGGAGGTTGGGTGAATGGCGGTGGTTGGGTGAATGGCGGGGGGTGGTTGCGAATGGTAAGTGGTTGGGTGAATGGTGGGTGGTTGGGTGAATGGCGGGCGGTTGGGTGAATGGTGGGTGGTTGGGTGAATGGTGGGCTGGTTGGGTGAATGGTGGGGAGGTTGGGTGAATGGCAGGTGGTTGGGTGAATGGTGGGGTGGTTGGGTGAATGGCGTAAGGTTGGGTGAATGGTGGGAGGCTGGGGTGAACGGCGGTGGTTGGGTGAACGGCGGGGTGGCTGGGTGAATGGCGGGTGGCTGTGTGAATGGTGGGCGGCTGGGTGAATGGTGGAAATGGGTGAATGGCGGGGTGGTTGGGTGAATGGTGGGGTGGTTGGGTGAATGGCGTATGGCTGGGTGAATGGTGGGAGGTTGGATGAATGGCGGGGTGGTTGGGTGAATGGTGGGGTGGTTGGGTGAATGGTGGGTGGTTAAGAATGGTGGGGGCGGTTGGGTGAATGGTGGGAGGTTGGGTGAATGGCGGGGTGGTTGGGTGAATGGTGGGGCGGTTGGGTGAATGGCGGGTATGGTGAATGGCGGGTGGTTGGGGTGAATGGTGGGGTGGTTGGGTGAATGGTGGGGTGGTTGGGGTGAATGGTGGGGTGGTTGGGTGAATAGTAGGGATGATTGGCTGAATAGTACGATGATTGGATGATTGCTGAATGGTAGGATGGTAGGGTGATTGACTGGAATGGTAGGTGATTGGCTGAATGGGTAGGGGTGATTACGAATGGTAGGCGGGATTGACTGAATGGTAGGGTGATTGACTGAATGGTAGGGTGATTGGCTGGAATGGTAGGGTGATTGACTGAATGGTAGGGCAATTGACAGTAGAATCAACACACTCCGGAGTGTTAGTATTTCACACTCTGTACTCTCAGTGTTAGTGCATTTACACCTGTACTCTCAGTGTTAGGCATTTCTACACTCTGTACCTCAGTGTTAGTACTCTACACCTGTACCTCAGTGTTAGTACTCACACCTGGTAGCCTCAGTGTTAGTACTCTACACATGTACCTCAGTGTTAGCATTTGCACCTGTACTCTCAGTGTTAGTACTCTACACCTGTACCTCAGTGCTAGTACTCTACACCTGTACCTTCAGTGTTAGTACTCTGCACCTGTACCCCAGTGTTAGTACTCTGCACCTGTACCTCAGTGTTAGTACTTTACACCTGTACCTCAGTGTTAGTACTCTACACCTGCACCTCAGTGTTAGTACTCTACACCTGTACCTCAGTGTTAGTACTCTACACCTGTACCTCAGTGTTAGTACTCTACACCTGTACCTCAGTGTTAGTACTCTACACCTGTACCTCAGTGTTAGTACTCTGCACCTGTACCTCAGTGTTAGTACTCTACACCTGTACATCAGTGTTAGTACTCTACACCTGTACCTCAGTGTTAGTACTCTGCACCTGTACCTCAGTGTTAGTACTCTGCACCTGTACCTCAGTGTTAGTACTCTACACCTGTACCTCAGTGTTAGTACTCTACACCTGTACCTCAGTGTTAGTACTCTACACCTGTACCTCAGTGTTAGTAGTCTACACCTGTACATCAGTGTTAGTACTCTACACCTGTACCTCAGTGTTAATTACTCTGCCTGTACCTCAGTGTTAATTACTCCTACACCTGTGCCTCGGTGTTAGTGCTCTACACCTGTGCCTCAGTGTTGTTAGTACTCTACACCTGTACCTCAGTGTTAATTACTCTGCACCTGTACCCACTCAGTGTTAATTACTCTACACCTGTACCTCAGTGTACCTCAGTGTTAGTACTCTACACCTGTACCTCAGTGTTAGTACTCCACACTGTACCCTCAGTGTTAGTATCTC